GCACGTACACATGCAACGCATGCAATGACCTCGGTTGCGCTAACAGTTCTGTTGAACTGACCGGTAAGATGACTGAAGGATTTTTAGGTTGGTAAATCGTACTAATTTTAGTCCATCCATTCGTAATCCCTACCGGACCAGAGTCACTGTTAGGTAAGAGACCTATTTCGGCGGTTCACAGCTGTGTTTCTTGATTTCAGCTTGCTGTAAGCAACAGAACCTATTACCCGAGTGTCTCTCTGCTTGTACTGTGGACATAGACGTTAATCTCTACCTGTATAATCCTCATTGCATGAACGAGTTTTCGAAACTACTCAAGTGCGCCAAAGGTAAAGTTTCGGTTTGTTTCGCCCTTTCTGTATTTTTTATAAATTAACGCCACTTTTTCAGATGGTGTTGACCATCGACAATGCTGTATATACAACGGGGTACCTAGTTCTTGTCTGGGTTACTGCGACCAGGGCGGAGACGCGCCTCTTAACCTGTTTTGCCTAAATTTTACTTCTCAAATACTTACTTGCGTTCAAGAACTGCACAGTAAGTGCCATTGTGGCCGTTAACAGTTCGACCATTCCTTTCATATTTAACTGGAATGATTTCGTTGATTTTTTTCTCAGGATCTTTGCCGGGACCACCGGTTGACATCATCGTCCAGCAGATACCCGGCAGAAATGCTCTTAACGTGTCGTGGAATCCGCCCCTGCGAAATGGAAAGTTGGTCGAGGTGTACATCGTCTACTACAAACCGTCTTATGTTAGCAACTATCTCAAGGTATTTAACAGATATACTGTGCTAATGAAGTGCTGAATATTTAAATCTGACATTCAGGATATTCTGATGCACAGCAAAGCAGCTATAACGCATAGAGATAAATGCTTTATTCATAAAAAATATAAAAACGTCATACAAAGTCTAGACTTATACAGAACCACCCACTCCTCACCGACGGAAATAAGTTGACTTCAGACTTTTCGCAGTATTGCGTTGAAGCACGGAAGAGGGTGATAAACTTAGACAAGTCAGATGGTTCTTACCTGGTTTTAATTATTGTCGTTGGTATGCGTCATCTATCATTGACAAGATCGGTACGGCGACTGTTACCTTCACTTTACGAGGGTTTAATTTTTCTCACGTTTCAAAGCATATGAGGAGGTGTATCTAGACCTTCATCGTTGCAACTAACAGTCAACGCTATTGCAATGAGTCCTTCCTTGGTGAAATCGGTGCAGTAACTTGTGGTGATCTGATGTTATTTCAACGGATATTACATTTTGGTTCATCATTTTCTGTTGTGAAATTGTTTCCTTTAGGGGTAATGATGTGTGACCAGAACATCTCAGATTACTCGTCGAACAGTTATCCGCTGCCCTATTCCAATGAAATTTGATCTTTAACGTTTTTAACCGCTCTCTTAGTTTGTCTTTTCATCACATAGCGGTGGGGACGATGCAATATCATTTTGATGGATTCAGAGAGTCCTCAGGGAATGCTGATGGTGCCTGCTGGATTTTGAATTTGTCGCGGTCTGAGTGATTATTTGGATAGCCTTCAGTCCGTCCTGCAGATCTTGCCTTTCTGTTTCAGCTCATATTACTTGAGAACAGTAGTGGATTCTATCCGGAATTTCTTTTGGCTATTACGAATTTCGTTGTCAGTGAGTGGTTTGATGCAAAATTATAGTAACAGATGTGAGTGGGATGAGATATACAGATATTTCAAACAAGCCTTGTATTTTAGGTATGGAGTTATGCCGTATCTCTCGTCCTCCATCATGTACTCAATTTCGAGTGAAATACTCTTCAAGTGGTTCAGAAACTTGTAGACGAAACTAGAATATATTACCAACGTCACCTTCAACATCGTCTACGTCCATCACACTTCCGGTTTCGATGAGGGCGAAGTGAGGATCTCAAACTTTTCCATTTGTAGAGTAGCTAAGTTTGGGATGTCGGGGGTCTGCGATATTGCCACTGCAGAATTTCACACATTTTAGTAACTTGTCACCAGTTAGTACTCCTTTCTTCTCATGATGGTATCACCTTCGGGTTTCCCTACACTGTTTCTACTAGTTGATTTATGTGAATGTTAATGAAAAATGACACTCAGAATCGCCATCGTCTCATCTCAAAGTGTGTTTGTGATCGACTTTCTCTTTGATGAAGAACTGAATAAATGTTTATTGCTGAATTACTGTACCTTGCCAGCGGCCATAATAATTTCGAAAGCTACTTCTGTTACCTTTCGTGGAGATCCAGTCTATGATCGCTTGTAGAAATCTCGGCTTACTCAGAATCGACTTCCATTTTTTTCAGCATGTTGTTCAGCTTCACACAGACAAGGCAACTATCGTCCATTTCATTTCTTTGTACCTGACTGTTTCTCATTTGCTGAATATATTCCATTTCCCTTGTGATGACGCTGCACATCACTTCACATCCCATGACGGCTTCTTTCGGTTGACTGAGGCAGACGCGTCATACAGTGCTTCCAACCTCCATTCTGTGTGAGCATCTGAGATACGGCTGAAGAGAAACCGAGTCTAGAGGAGACTCCTTTCCTATATTTGCACCAGGTTAATCTTAGCCGTCCCACGGGCCTTCTGCCGTTGTGTTTGGCAAGCAGTAGTTGATTTGTCTTCCTTTCTGGAGGCATTCGCAAGACGTGCCCAAACCATCGCAGCTGTGATTTCTAAGTCTGAAGAAGCAGCGGCTGTACACCAAGGATCTCACGGGTTTCTGTACTACAGACAATGTCGAAATGCGTAAGGCCAGTAACTCGTATGGGAAAGCCCATTTAAGCAGATTGTACCCGGTTTCGAAGCTTTTCAGTCGTGGTCAACGACTCATGACCGCAGGTAAGCATGGGGATAAAGATCGACTTGAACACTGAGAGTTTAGTCTTTATGCTCAGTTCTGCTTTAGTCATAATATCTCCGCCTATTTCAAGCAGAGTAACAGGCAGGAGAACTAGAAAGTAGGCTTTGCGTTTTAGAAAGGTTCAACCGTATGCTTTTGCCACCTCAGACTTCTGCGAACCTTTCCAGAGAGCATTGTAGATCGGTTTCTGTAGATGCCATTACAACAAGGTCCTCTGCAAACAGCAGCCTTCTTGAATCGACATCTCCTGCACTCATACACTCATTGAGTCGCCTGACTTTATCCGTGTACAACAGAAACAGGATGGGGGCAGAACGCAGCCTTGGCGAAGACTAGTGCTAACTCTGAAAGGTCTCTTTATCGTCATTTAATCTGACGCAGCACCTGCGTTTGGCCGTGCGCAAATGGTTATGGATCCAATACTTTTGCAATCATCCCATACATTGCTGCGCGGGATCCGGTCATATACTTTCTCTAGGTCAGCAAAACAGATATACACTGGATGGGAGAACTCCCTTAATTTCTCAACAATCTGGCGTAAGGCGAATATCTTATCAGATATGGTTCATCAGGTCCTAAAGCCGCGTTGCTCTTATTGTATCTTCGAGTCAGTTATTCCGCGGTAGGTACTTTCTAGCACCTTTGCGTAGACTTTATTCGGGAGGCTCATCTAGGTAATGCGCCGATAATTGGAGCTCCCCCTGTAGTCTCCCTTCTGAAGCAAAGGTACTGCACCTGCCGTTCTCCTGCCCGCTGGTGTTTTTGCCATACCCACTGCATTTAACATGAGCAAGCCAG